CTCAAAGTTTTAATCCCAAATCTCCCTATGCCCATATCAGAACTGAAAGGCTGACGGGTGAGCCTAAAAACACGAGCAAAGCTCGACCGAACTGCCACCACCAAAATCCAAAACCCCTCTTTGATGAGCCCCTTCTCGTTTCCTGTTTCCTACGATTTCTTACTGTTGTGTTCCTCGTTTCGTTATGATGCAGGTTAGCCAAAGAAACACCCCAACTGCAAAGGAGGAACAGTGGAGCCGCCACACTCAGAGACCCTTCCGCTGGTAGGATTTTGGTTTTTGTCTTTTTCTGCCAACAGAGGCCCCCCTAACTTGGTTTTTTACAGGTTTCCATTCAAAATAGACCAAAATTGGCCTAAACTGACCAAAAATGGCCAAGCCGAGAGGAACCATCGCTGCAGGCGGTGGAGCCAGCACCAGTGGCGATGTCATGCCAGAACCGTAAATGGGTTAGAAAAGTTTAAAAATACCTATTTTAGCTTTTTGGAATTTTTTTGGATATGTGACGGGTATTTTAGTTTCTGCATGAAAAATTTAGAAAACCCGGGGGCCGTCAGGAGGCGAAATAAAGAGTACAGTATTTCGAATACCGATCTAGAGTAAGAATCTCTAACCCTTTTTTCCATTATAGTAAATTAAAACTTAATAATCAATAACATTGTGTTTTGTGAAAACTAAAAAATAAACCCTAAAATTAATTACAGGTAGTGGAGGCAAAACCGGTTAATGTATAATTACCCTAGGTTATTCGTGTTGCCTATTTATTTTCTTATACTGCCTAAATTACTTATTGTTACACCGTGTACTTTAAATTATAAATTTTAATTACTTTCTCGTTTATTGATTGCCTAATTGTTATTTTTATCTATTAACTCATTTGAAATAAATGCCCTAATTACATTTATTGATGGTTTAGGTATAAATTGTATTATCTGTTTAAATGTCATTCTATTGATCTGAAATATAAAATGAGATGTTGGCATGCGATTGGTGATTGGTTGATGATGTGAATCTATGTGTGAAAGACTTACTGGGTACGCTAGAAAAGGGTAAACAGACTCGGTACATAGGAAAACCCTACCGTGAACATTCCCTCAGTCGAACGGAGTTGAGAAGTCCCATACTAGAAGGGGTTAAGAGGTATAATTCACCATCATACCGGACGAGATATTGAGGTGATAACATGTTTAGTGCCCATTATCGGATGGGGTATGGGGATGACCGATTGATTAATAAATTAAATATTAGATTAATGTATAGGAGGATATCCCTATGGACCATTAGGGGCACTAGTAAGCAAGTAAGAGGGTAAGTTTATTGTTATTGTTCATTTAAATGTGAAATCAAAATACGTTTCAAGTTGTTACTTTCGTAGGTTGGTTTTGGAAATCTATAAAGGTAAGTATAAAACTTACATTTTTTTTATAAAAAACAAGTTTATTTAAGAAAGACAAATGGCTCCATAGGTTATTTTATGATTTTTTACCAACATTTGATTTTCCGTATCGGTGTTAAGTATGATATTCTTGCTGGGGTAGTATAGCTCATTTTCCTATTTAACCATTTCAGATCAAGAAAACCAAGATCCAGATCCTGAATAACAGGAGGGTTGCGAATAAAACTTATCTCTCAGACCCCATCAGAGTTGCCCAACGAAGGTTAACCCCATAAGATTTTTATTTCGTTTTATTTTAACTATTTATTTTGTTACTATGAACTTGTATAAAGGGACATTCCCGTAGCCCTATTAGGCATCTTGATTTACTGTGTAAGGAATATAAACCATAAATTCTAAATTACTTCCGCTTATAATTGATATAATCCAGTATTTCTATTTTCTTAAGCTTTGAGTCTTTATATTATTACTTACCATCAAAATCATATCAGTGTCTTTTATTAAATTATAAAATAGTTTATTTTATTAAATAAATTATTAGTTCATCGTATCACATCAATTAGATATATCATACTGAAATAGAAAAAAATCAAATAAATCATGATATGCACTGTTTTTTGTGTCATTCTTCGCGAAGTCATTCCGATTTCCACCTATTGAGGACAATACGGATTCCTGACTAGCCATGTAGAATGACCAATTCATTTCATTTATAACAACAATTTGTAACTTGCCAAACTAACAACACATTTGCGGCTTGCTAAACTATTACAGATCTATGACCACGGTCGTGCCAACCACAGTGGTATAACATGACAACTATGGTCACGGTTGTACTTTACCAACAGTGATGCCTACAATCATATCGCGTCACCACTCTCGTTAGTGAGTACGTCGTCATCTTCAGGGAGTGGTCCTCTCACATCTTTTTAAACTAGATGGGGGAGAAACAAAAACTCCTCAGATATAAAAAGCCTAACGAATACTTTATGAATTATGCATGTCAATACCAATACATATCTATCATGTCTATACATTAGTTCATGCTTAATCATTTTTTCACCATCAATTGCATCACATATCAACATTTATTTCAAATATTAAATCATTTAAATTTCACATGCAAATTAATAAATTCATATATGATCATAAAACATGCATCATCACATAAAATTACTTCATTTAGAAATAAAATTTAACCATGCAATCATAAATCTAAATTTCATTAATTTTATTATAGAAATGCTCCTTAGGATAATTCCTTACCAAAACTTCGATGTTTCCTACATATTTTCTTCTTATTTTCCTCTTTCTCTCTCTCTAAATTAATTCCTCTCTCTAAACTCTTGGAGGATGGAAGAATGGAATGGAAGTGATGAGGAAATAGTGAAGGGACCCTTCCTATTTATAGAAAATAGGGATCGTTGGATTTACACCAAGTGGCAACATTTGGTGAGGAGAGAGAAAGTCAATAGGAAAGATGTGATGTGACGGCTGATAGATGTGATTGACGAATGGATGACGCGACATGAAGATGGCGCAAAAAATGGAGGCACACCACCCAAATGACTGCGGCACATTGCCCAAGCGACGACAGCATGCCGCCCAAGGGACATGCTTCCTACAACAAAATAAATAATAAATTTTGAGAATTGTTAAATCAAATAAAAATACGAAATGCGATATTCATCTGAGAAAATAAAAATACGAAATATTAATGAGTTTAAATGGCCTTAAGGACCGAATAAATAGGGGTTCATATTACAAATTAAGCGTAAAGGTTTTCGGGGTGTTACAGATATGGACATGCTTCACACTCATGATATATTCGAAAAATAGCTATAATGATGTGATAAAGATTTAGGTTCCAAAAGAAACATAATTTATACTAATTAGGGTATAATACTTATTGTAAGAATACTGAATTAAGCTTTTGCATCTAACAGAGAAGGAGGGAATATTGAAAATGTAATTGATTTTGATATACTGAAAAAAAAAAATTAATTTATTCTAATCTTGTTATGAGTTTCCTCAAGAATGTATGCAATAAAATTGAAGATGTAGAGTGTGAAGTTTTAAGACTCTTGAGGAAGAGGATAATGAATAGAAAAGGAGAAAGAAGGGAAAACATCACTATAGAATTATTTTCATTTTCCAAATTTCATATAAGTAAGAGATCTTTTAACTTTTAGTTCAAAATTACTTTTAAAAATAATTTAAAATTTTTATAAAAAATATTTTTCATACAAAGAAAATAGAGACCATTTTTAATTATAAAAATGTGGACTATTATGTCAAGAAATACTTCATGTTATTGTGTTACATGGTTTTGAAATTTTTAAGTAATACATGTGTGATGCGCTAATCACATGAGTGCTTCACGGTACTTTTAACACTTCCACTTAAATATGAAAAACTGTGATATGAAAAAATATATTCACATGTGAATTTCTTTGAAGTTTATGAAAGAAATATTTCACACCTTTATTTTCATACAACTTTTACCTAATAAAATTTTTGAAATATGTGATAATATTTAACATTTCTTGTTTACATGATTTTTACCTCATAAATTCTGTTTTATTAAGAGCAAAGAAATACTTCATGTATTATCTTCATATTAGTTTTCTTGTTTTTAAAAGTTTAAGTAAAGATATAGTGTGAAAAATTGCTTCATGTATCAACTTCATGCTACTTTATGCATTTTCTATTGTATAAATGGATGCGAAGAAACAACATGAACATGCAATGTGAAGAATTCTTTCACACTACATGAAACATTGTTGAGAATAATTTTTTTTTATTAGGGTGCATTTAATGCATGGATGTTAAATCTTTCTCTATCTAATAGTTACTTATGAGTGGATAATATATATTGTATCTACAAACCACATTTAAAGCATGATTTAAGAACTAAAATTAAAAAGAAATTACTTGAACATCTTTTTATATTCTCTTGAGCAAATATGAAATTTTTTTGAATTTTATTTTAGAAATCAACTCTTACTCAGTGTGTAGGTGAAAGTTTCATCTTCTAATTGCTTAAGTTTGTAGAAAGAGGTATCAAAATACCTATTCGGTCTGGCGTTTAAGAGAAAAATCTAAGTGTTATAGTTTGACACTAAAAAAGTAAGTATTTGTAAAATAATTTTAAAAAAAAATAGAAACACTTAAGTATTTGACTTAAGAATATGATGGAGACATCCCCTATAAAACCATTGTTTGTTCTTTCTCTTTTAACTTATAATTTTAGTATCTATATTCGTTGAAGTGCACTAGTGCTTACTCATTTTTCATTTATTATCAACCATTTATTTAAGAAGTTAAAAGATTATTAGTCATTTATTTTACGAATAATTAATTTTAAAAAAAAAATATATATCCTTATTGATTTCAACAACCATTTACCTCTTATTTTGATTATTAAATTATTTTTCTAACCTTTGACTCGTAAACTAAAATAGCTAAAAATTTAAAGAAACTCAATTATCCCCTCTTGACTTGACTTTTGAGCCAACAGAAACAACTTAAATAATAATTTTGGCAACTTAAATACAAGCCTCTTAATATTTTTATTTTATTAAAACGTATATGTGAACAATTCCTGCCCTTACGTGTGCCAGAAAAAAATCATTCCCGTTCCGTGAGCAAACAGCCAAACACGACCTTAGAGTTTGGAGCATGAATGAAGCGTGAGACAATTGGACGGTTAAACACAGAACCAGAGCCACATGGCGATCCTTGTGTCACCCGATGGCCATTCCCTCGCCTTATGGCGGAGCAGTGTGATGCCAAAAACGCCCAAGTCGAAGAGATTAAGCTCAATCCGGCAAACACGAGCAGCACTTGTTGAAGCAACGCCCAGACCCGATGGACCCGTCTTGCGCCTTCAAGTGGATCGAACTGAGGATATGCAGGCGGAGGCGAGAGCCATGGCTCGTGCAGCTAATGCCTCTGTCTACTCTCCCCAACTCCTCTTGAGCAAATACGGGTCGCGTCCATTGCAGGTGGGTTTTGTTTTGGATGTCTTGGGGAATAACTAGTTGTTTATTTGGTTGTATTGATGGAGAGCGAAATGATTAGGTTGTGCGGAGAACTGTTGAAATACTGGTAGCTCTTGGTGGGTTTGCGTTGAAATTGTTGGTGGACGAAAGGAATGGAGTATTGGAACGAAACAAGCGGAAGAGGGCAGCTGAGCTGAGAACCATTTTCACTCGATTGGGTCCGACTTTTGTTAAATTAGGTCAGGGCTTGTCAACTCGGCCTGATATCTGTCCTCCTGAGTACCTGGAGGAGCTCTCTCAGCTTCAGGTCTTTCATTCTCTTTCCCGTCTCGCCATTTTCAGAATTGAATTTTTCTAACCCAATATAACTTTATGTGTTGTTGATTGAACGAGTAGGATGCTTTACCCACCTTCCCCGATGCAGAGGCATTCGCGTGTATTGAGAGGGAGCTGGGTCTTTCCCTTGATTCCATTTTCTCTTCAATTTCTCCATCTCCAATTGCAGCCGCCAGTTTAGGCCAAGTTTACAAAGCTCAATTAAAGTATTCTGCCCAGATTGTTGCTGTCAAGGTCCAACGCCCTGGCATTGAAGACGCCATTGGCCTCGATTTTTATCTTATCAGAGGTCTTGGGTTCCTGATAAATAAATACGTTGACATAGTTACTAGTGATGCCGTTGCCCTCATTGACGAATTTGCTCGCAGAGTTTATCAAGAGCTCAACTACGTGCAGGTTACTTACTTTTTTCTTGGCCTTGTTGATTTTGGATTTTCTAGTCGATAGCTTTTTAAAATGTTGAATGACCAACCTGCAGGAGGGACAAAATGCCAGGAGGTTCAAAAAGTTATATGCTGATAAGCAGGATGTCCTTGTCCCGGATATCTTTTGGGATTACACCAGTTGTAAAGTATTAACCATGGAGTGGGTTGATGGAGTGAAACTAAATGAACAAGAAGCCATTGAGAGACAAGGTTTAAAGGTTTTGGATCTGGTGAACACGGGTATTCAGTGTAGTCTTCGGCAGCTACTGGAGTATGGTTATTTTCATGCTGATCCTCACCCTGGTAATCTACTGGCAACACCTGAGGGGAAGCTTGCTTTTCTTGATTTTGGAATGATGAGTGAAACACCTGAAGAAGCAAGATCTGCAATTATCGGTCATGTTGTTCACATGGTGAATCGAGATTATGAAGCGATGGCCCTTGATTACTATGCTTTAAAGTTCTTATCTCCTGATGTAGATGTATCTCCAATCGTGCCGGCACTCCGTGACTTCTTTGATGATGCACTTAGTTACAGTGTCAGTGAACTCAACTTCAAAACACTGGTGGATGGTCTTGGTGCTGTTCTATTCCAGTATCCTTTCAATGTCCCGGCCTATTATGCATTGATATTGAGGTCACTCACTGTGCTAGAAGGTTTGGCACTTTATGCCGATCCGAATTTCAAGGTCTTGGCTGCTTCATACCCGTATTTTGCTAAAAGGCTTCTCACAGATCCAAATCCATACCTCAGAGATGCTCTTATTGAGTTGCTTTTTAAGGACGGAAGGTTTAGATGGAATAGACTTGAAAACCTTCTTGTTCAGGGAAGAAAAGATAGAGACTTCTCAACCAAAGATGCTTTACAACCTGTCTTGAAGCTACTACTGGATGCAGATGGTGAAGAGCTCAGGATTTTGGTGATTAAGGAGTCTGTTCGTGTAACCGAAGCTGTTGTTCTAGGCTCTCTCATTGATACCTACAATTCTGTTCCTTATTACATGCAAACTCTAATTTTTAACAGCAACGGTAACGGTAATGGATTCCTATCAATGAGCTATGCTGAAACACAAAGCATGATAGAGCTTCGGGATCAAGTTTTTAGGATCTGGGGGCTTTTCCGTTCATCTGAAAACTTCGATCCATCTATTCTCCAACCGATATTACAGGTAATTTCTTTGTACTGTGCGGCTTGTTGAATAATAAACTACATATATTGGCTGCTAAACTTTGTTTTCACTAGCTTATAATATTAAATTTCATGTACTTTTTTTTGGATAACATTCTTCAACTGAAATCTAGATTTCATTCTTTGTGAAGATGGTAACTCTAAAGCAGTGGAAGAAAATGAGTGTTGCTGAAACTTTTTTAGTTGGTAGATGTTGAAAATGAGAGTATTGGCATATAAAAAATGAAGTTGGAGGCTTTATTGTCAAGTTAAGACTTTTTAGTTAAATTGGTCATTTAACCAACTTATCTAATACAACTGTCTTGCAAGAAACCAATCTTTTTTTTAAAAAAAATCTTAGATAGCTGGTTACACTTTACACTTTTGCTTTGAAAGGGGGTTGGAGTTAGATTCTTGTGTGATTTCTGTCTTCTGAATAATAAATATTATTCTTGTTTGGTTTTACTTGATTCCATAAAAAGATATTAAAATTGAGTTAAACTAGTTTGGTTTTGAAACTTGGATTCCCTTCGACCTAAGGACATTCGTACCGTTTATATTTAACAACAAAGCTAATAGATGAAGCACATTGGCAGGTCCTTCAGCAACCTGAGGCACGAAATCTTGGGGAACGTGTTGTTGGTGGGATCTTTCAGCGTCTTGCAGCACGGTTTCTGCAGCAATTACTCCGGTCACAAACAATAAATTCTACTTCAGTTTCATAGGTATTGCCAACAACTAATACAAATTACTTATAGAATGTTTCTTAATGTATTCTCTACCGATATTCTTTTTGTCTATTACTGGCCACACTGGAGAGAAGACAAATTAAAGCGGATAAAACTGGTGTAAATTTCTTAATAAACCCCTTTTCGTGCTGTACTACTATGGTAATATTCTCCATATCACTGTATAATACAAACAAAATAGAAGCCATTTCCAGAAAGTCGTAGCAGCAAAGAGAAATTTGTTGCTATTTGAAGAAAAAGAAATTTTGATTGTGCTTAATGATTTTACATGTGAGAAGGTTCAGCGGACAAAATTCCATGTGAAGATAGGTCTTAACAAAAATCATTACAGGCAACTCTCACTTATTTTGTATTAAGTGAAATAAATCATTAAGGGTATGACTGAAATTATATTGTAAACAAAAGGGTACTATAGTAATTTTAACTTAAAGCAGGAAGAAAGTGTTACTGAAAAAAGTGTTCAATAATTTGTAGTGGAATAATATATTTTGATATTCAATTTTAAATTATTGCTGATATTTCCATATATTCTAACAAATTTTAAAAGAATAAATTTATTTTTTAAAAACGAAAAAGAAAAGAAAATTATATTATAATTTAATTATATTCTAATTTTCATCTACCATCAAACTCAATATGTCAATGAAATTAATAATCTAATTTCAATTTGCAAACCAAATAGCATGCTGTAATTGTAATATAATTTTGTTTGACTTAACTTATTTCTTTCTCAACATAAGCTTATAAGCACTTTTTGTATAAGTATTTGGTAAATGCATTGAGTATTTATGAGTTGAACACTTTTATAAATTCTACAATGAATTAAGTAAAAGATTAAATTATTTTTAATAATATTCAAAATTTTAATAAATATCTCTTACGATTGCAATCATTTGTTATTTTTTTTAATTATTATTATTTTACTCTTATAATATAAGATAAATCACTTCTTAGTTAAATGATAATTGATATTTTTTATAAATTTATATTATCAAACACTGTTTATTTCTCACTTATTGTTTACATAATAATCAAGCATAAAAAGAAAATAAAAAGCAAAGTTTAATATTTAACTCTTATTTTATATTAATATGTTAAATTATATAATTGATTATGTGGCAAAATTTTATACAGTACCTCGTCTTTATTGACAATATAATTAACTTATCTTTTTATAATTTCATAGGTTTCACAACTTAAAAGATGCACCTTCAAAAGAATTTTATAACTTACCAAATAGTTGAATAATTAAATTTTTATATTAATTTATGTGGTAATAGAGTTTATAAGTTATAGGATTACGGATATACTACCCAAGAGAAAAAATGTCTAAGCTTCTAATAGGATGCCAAAAAAATGTGAGCCCTTCCAGCAAACTTTGTTATATTTTTATCCTTAATACGCATCATTCAAGCCTAGGAAGTCACGACATGGGTATCCAAAGGGAGATCAAAGCGGCACGGGCTGTTCAAAAGGAGATCAAAATGGCATGGGCTGTCTAAAGGGAGATCAAGGTGGCAAAGGCTGTCCAAGTGAAGACAAAGTGGTTTGAGCCATAAACAACACGTATATGGAGACAAACAAGGCTTGGAGACAATACATGATGGATTCGAGTCACTTGGGAAGAGTATCATGATGCCTAGTGGACCTATCACAAGATCAAGGGGCAAGAAACTCAAGCAAGTCTTCCAACTTTTTGTGCAAGAGTGAATTAATGAGGAAAAAAAGCTTGGGCTGAACATTGAAGCCCAAAAGGGAATGATTCAAGCCCATTTGGCCAAAGGGAGAATTAGACATGCAATCTCCTCCAAAATAGGGACACATGGCCGAGTCAAGCACATGGAGAAATCCTCTCACTTGTCAATGATTTTTCCTCACAAGAGAATTTTTTCCTTTTCATATCATCTCCAAACAACAGCATATAATCCTGAGAATCAAGCAGGAATTTGGTCACAACTTTTGCAAGTTTTTTAGTCGAGTTTTTCCTTTCCAAAGAGGCATATTAAATATATAAAGAAATCAAGGAGACTTGCTTTAAAAGATAATGGACGGATTCGCAATATTATGGATGGATTTACAAGATCTTCTTTTATTCTAAGCATGACCAGATATCATTTAACTAAAAGAGTCCTTATTTTCTTATATAATCAAAAGATCTTCTTTAAAACAAGGGATCACTTCACGAGTAGGCACTTCTCAACTAAATAGTCATTAATTTTCTTATATGTAAATTATTATTTTTCCTAAGTAAGCATTAGAGATCATTTAGGATTCAATTTTTATTGTAATTCTCTTAGCGTACATATATAAATAGGCCTCATGCATTGGTTGTAATCATCAAAGCTTCAAATCAATAAAATATCAAAGCTTTTCAAACTTACGAAACCTTCGGCTTTTAGTGCTCTTTAAGAAGGTTTGTCTTTAACCTTCTTGTTAAGTGAATAATTGGTTATACTTATTAAGGTAATTCTTGTGGTATTTTATCAATTCTTATTATTTTTTCAATTACCTTAGGTCCAATTATATATTGGTTGTGGGTGAATAAGGAGGGTTTATTCAAAGATTAAGTTTTTGTGCTAATTGCATATGTATGAGTTCATATTGCATTATTGATCTTGAATTCCGCATTATTTGGTGTAAAAGTTTAGTATCGAAATAAATCTTACTATCTTACATATTTGTATCTTTGCATATTTATTATCCTTCATAGTAAAAAAAAAAAAAAAGAACCAATCTAAGAAGTAAAACTGATTGGTTTTTTCTTGCTTATTTATTCGATTAGCATCATCATGAAGAGCTAATCTATCGTTCATGTTTATGTTCACTTGAATTTTTTATCATTGTTGGTTCGAATGATCAAGTTATTCTCTTAGTCCAAAAAAATCAGAAAAGAAAAGAAGCAAAACTAATTGTCCGTCATTCAAATCAATTCACTTTTGTTTACTTAATCAAGTGTTTGTTTCATCACATCTCTGTTGATTGATCAAGTTAACTCTTTGTCATACTCTGCAAGGCTGAATCTATCACCACATTCGGGAGTATTCTTTCCATATTAAAGATCAACATGCATCCATTGATACACATCACATTAGCTTTAAACTAAATCATCATTCTAGAGCGTAACTGACGAGGGAGGGTATGAGATGATCAAATCAGCTCCTAAAACCCACTCAATATATGCAATACCGAAACTATAACCACCTAGAATTAAAGCCCTCCCTCTAATTGAATTTACAATCTTAAGAGGAAAGTAAAAATAAAGACTAGAAAAAATAAACAAGGAAAGAAAAAACGTTATGAACTTACCGATAAGTTAATCCCCGCTCCTTGGCTCAATAAAACTTCTAAAGATTCTTGCTTCCCGAAGAACTTGAATAAACTAATTTTAGCAAAAACATTAAAAGAAAAAAAAGCTGAAACTCTCAATAATTCTTTCAAATTTATTCTCAAACGGTGTGTTTACATCCTAGGAGCAAAGGTCTATTTATAGTATTTCCCGAGCAATCTAGATGAGTATAAAATTTTGAGATAAAATAATACCCTCGATAGAATTCTATCTAAATCTAGGATAAATATATAATAAAATAATTATTTTATCTTAAATAAATTAATTAAATAATCCTAAAGATAGAATTATAATAAAATATTAATTAAAGTAAACCTATATTTATCCTATGTGAAATTCATATAAAACATATGTGGAAATCACATTAAAATAATAGGATAAATAATTAAGATTAAAAATATAATAAAATAATAGTTTAGGATAATTTCAAGATTAAATATTATATAACTAATTCTTAATTTAAATAATAATATTTAAATAATGAGGTGATAATTACCATGTGAGTTTTATAAATTTTGGGCTGAAAAAATTACATAGGCCATGTGGAGAAAAAGTATAAAAACTTACCACACACACACACCTCACCTGTACGGGCTATGGAAGCCTAAACGTGCACACACGACTTAGGCCGGGCCTGCGCACATGACCTTTGGGCCTCACGGCTTTACGGCCCACTCGGGTTCCTCCTCGGCTGGGCCCGCAACTGCTACTGGGCCAGCTTACTGGGCCGGGTGTTTGACCTGGTTTCTTTTTCCTCGGGTGCAGATCTGTCAGATTAGGCCTCAGGAAGTGGGCCAGTCTTCGAGTCTTCTCGATGGGCCTCAGTCGACCCATCTGCTAAGGCGTGTGGCATGGGCTGCACGTTCTTCTCAAACACGCGGCTTGTTAGGCCACGGGATGGGTCTAGCGGGCCGGGTGACTCGGCTCGCCTACTTGCGGGTATTTCCCCTCCTTGCGTCGTCTCGGACATGCCACCGTCGTCTTATAGGATTAATCTGAAAGCTCACAACTCATCATCGTTGACACTTCTTTGGGTTGATTGTCTCGGTGGCCCATAAGGCTTTTTGGTCTTGATGGCATCGATGATCCATCTTACCCGATCTACGCTTGTACAAATTGGATCCTTGGGCTTCATGGGATTGAGCCTTATTGTCAAATCTCGACTTCGTTTTCTTGGTTCAGGCTTCTCCCTGGCCTTATTTTTGAATTGGCGCAAAATCTAACGGTTGCTTCCCAAGTAACTGGAACGCCTTCTTAGGGTCACATCAGTAACTTTAGTTGGGTCTAGCATTGAGGTTACATCTTCGATTTTTTCCTTAGGGATTTAAGCTGAATATATCACATCATACTCATAATTGCCTTCTTGCACTTCAAGAATCTATCACATCATCTTCGATTTTCTCATTCTTTATTCTTGTGTTTAAACTCTTTACTTTTAGAATCGTGTTACAATTTTCTTTCTTTAGGATTCATTGAAGTGTCAAAAGATAAAACTTAAGTACCTTGATTCAAGAGAATTCCATCTTGATATTCAACTGGAGGGAAGAAGATTGAGAGAAAAGGCTTGAATAGATGAGCTCAAAAGAGGGTAAACATCAATTTTGAGTGAAACGCAAGAGAAAATCCATGAGAAAGTGTTATTTTATTTCTAAACTTTTTCTGCATGATTTTTTCACAATGGCTCAACCTAGTGAGAATAATATACCAACGATATAAGGCTCTATATGGAGATTATGCGCAAAGAAATTATAAAGCTTAGTAGAGTAGTGAGAGATCTAAAAACTAATCTCGATGAAGTAAGGGACTCTTTTAATGGACAAAAACCCAAAACCCCAATCCAAGATGAGGAGG